CACAATTCATCCACAACAGGGTCTGACAATAAGATAAATAAAAGATATTGTGGGAATTAAAAATGGCGGTGGAGTAAGTGGATGCTGTATAGACATGCTCCCAGAAACAAACTGGAATTACAGCTAAAATACAGAAAAACTTCCTGAATAATCAATGGAAGACTTGCTGGAGAGAAACCTGATAACTGAGGATGGAAACTGGTGACTGCATAGAGACTGGTAGGAAAGGCAGAGGCAAGAAAGGGCTGGCTGGGCTCCCACAGATAACAACTGATGTTCTGGAGAGATATCTCAGCTGTGGAGCATTGCCACTGAGAACCCTGGGGTCTAATCCCCAAGCTGGGCCCCCAGCAGAGAGCACCAGGACTGAGAGAGGTGCCCACATAAAATCTGGCTGTGAAAAGCAGAAGGGTTGCTGTCTGCCTGGGAGAGATGTCTGGAAATGCAGGCACCCTCTTAAAGGGCCAATGCACAAAATTCCCTGTGCAGCCATTCATCTTGTGTTCCAGCAAGGGAGAGCAGAGTGGACTGGAGTTGTGAGAGCAGAAGCCAGGATAGGGAACTCTGAGATTAGAGTTTGGAAAGCAGACATCCTGGTTTGCTGTGCTGAGTCATTCCCTCACACTGCGGAGGTCATCTTTCTCATGCAGACAATTGCTACACAGTCAGCTTTGCCTGGGAGGAAGACAGCTGACCCACCCTATTGGAAAACACCTTGCCTCACTGTGTGGAGTTTCTGATATCATTAAGAGACTGAGAATAACAGCCTCCAGGCAGAAGCAATTGCCCCACACTGTTGAAAAAAACTCTCGCTACAGCTGAAGACAATGGCCTGAGGGCAATTCAAGACAGAATCCCATCAGTCTGTAGGCAGAAGCAATCTCTGGAGAATTTAAGTCTCTGCCTGATCTAATTAATCAGAAACAGCGTTTGACACTGTCCTGCACCAGAGATTGAGAGTTGTAGCAGATCTACCTAATACATAGTCACAAACCCAAACAGGCAGCCAATATTAGGAGACAATGAAACAACCCACAAATGAAAGAACTAGAGAATTCTCCAGAAGAAGATGTAAATAAAATGGAAATAAGAAATTTATCTGATATAGAGTTCAGAAAAATAATGGTAAAGATGCTCAACAGCATGAGAAAGATATAATAACTATAGAAACATATAAAGCATGACATAGCACAAATAAAGAACACATTGGAAGAAATACACAGCAGATTAGGGGGAGCTGAAGATTGAATCAGTGAATTAGAAGACAGGTTTGAAAAAAATCAGAGAACCATAAAACAATAAAAAACAGGAGGACAGCTTAAGGGAGCTGTGGGATAACATGAAATGTAACAATATTAGAATAGCAGATGTGCCAGAAGAGGCAGAAAGGGAAAAAAGGATAGAAAATGTGTTTGACAAAATAATGGCAGAAAACTTCCTAACATAGTAAAGGAAAAAGTCACACAAGTCCAGGAGGCACAGAGTCCCAAGCAAGAAGAACCCAAATAGGCCCACGCTCAGACACATCATAATTAAAATGCCAAAAAAGAAACAAAAAGAATCTTAAAGGAAGCAAGAGAAAAGCAAACTGTTACCTACAAAGGAGCTCCCATAAGGCTGACCCAGATTTCTCATCAGAAACTATGTAGGCCAGAAGAGAATGGCATGAAGTACTCAAGGTAATGGAAAGCAAGGATCTGAGACCAAGATTACTATATCCAGCAAGGCTATCATTCAAAATACCTGGTGAAATAGAGCTTCCCAGACAAAAAAAGGCTAACAGAGTTTATCACCACCAAAACAGCACTGCAAGAAATGCTAAAGGGACTGCTGTAATGAGAAGAGATACATACAAAATTAAAATGGTAATAAGTACCTATCAATAATAACCTTAAATGTAAAGGAATTAAATGCTCCAATTAAAAGGTATAGAATAGCTGAATGAATACAAAAACATGACCCAACTATATGCTGTCTACAAGAGACCCAACTCAGAGCAAAAGACACACAGGATGAGAGTGAAAGGATGAAAAAAAGTTTTCCAAGGAACTGGAAAAGAAAAAAAAAAGCTGGAGTAGCAATACTCATAACCAACAAAATAGACTTC